TTTCAGTTTTTTTCAAAAGAAAAATTAAACAATGAATAATGTTTTTTAACCTGAAATTCATTGGCTTTGGCTTATTTTCTGTGAAGAACATAAATCCGAACAAATTTACAATGACCGCATAATGAACCTCCCCCCACACATTTACATTACATACAAGGTGTTCGGGTCCACTAGACCCAGGTCTAATAAAAGTCTTGAAAGTGTAGGTCCAGTGTTCCTACACTCCGTCTTCCTCTTTTCTGGTGGAAGAGTTTTATTTTCAAGCTTTATTTTCTCAGACCCTGTCCCAACTGCGAACTAGGGGCATAGTACTATATATAAGACTGCCTTCTTATCACAACTGATCAAGACGGCCAAAAGATTATCTGCTGCGAAGGCCTTGCAATTGATTGTGAAAGAGAGAGGAGCTTCTGATGATGATGTCAATGACAATGGTGGGAAAAATACGAAAAAACTAATCTGTGGGTTTTATTTCTTTCATAACATATATATATATATATATACAGTTGAAGTCAGAATTATTAGCCCCCCTGAATTAGTAGCGCTGCTGTTTATTTTTTTCCCCAATTTCTGTTTAATGGAGGGCAGATTGTTTCAGCACATTTCTAAGCATAATAGTTTTAAAAACCTATTTCTAATAACTGATTTATTTTATCTTTGTCATGATGACAGTAAATAATATTTTACTTGATATTTTTAAGACACTTCTATACAGCTTAAAGTGACATTTAAAGGCTTAACTAGGTTAATAAGGTGAACTAGGCAGGTTAGGGTAATTAGCCAAGTTATTGTATAACGATGGTTTGTTCTGTAGACTCTCGGAAAAAAACTAGCTTAAAGGGGCTAATAATTTTGTCCCAAAAATACTTTTTAAAAAATTCAAAACTGCTTTTATTCTAGCCAAAATAAAACAAATAAGACTTTTTCTAGAAGAAAAAATATTATCAGACACACTGTGAAAATTTCCTTGCTCTGTCAAACTTCATTTGGGAAATATTTAAAAAAGAAGAAAAAAATAAAAACGGGGCTAATAATTCTGACTTCAACTGTATATATATATAAAAACGAGAAGCACATTAATTCATCAATATGATCTAACAAAGATAAAGGGGAAAAATTAACCAAGTTTGCTGTTCATATGGCTTGTAATTGGGATTAAGTAATTTAACATAAACATATTTGATAGTGTTCATTTGGAAAGCCAAAACTCTAACAGGTCCACCAGACCCATGAACACTGGCTTAGTAACAAAAATACGAACACCACACAAGAAAAAAATTACGTTTTTTTTACTGCCGTTTTGCGCGTTGGTTTGCACAATCACATTAGCGCCGTTTATTTAGTCACGAGGCGTTAAACGTCGACGGAAAATGCGAGCCTTAAGATTAAAACTAAATAAAAAATATGTAAAAATTGCTGGTCTAAATATGGATTGATCTAAATATATATATATATATATATATATCACTAAACAATGCAAATATCACAATACATTAGCATTTTTGTCCAAACAAAGCCTATGTTTCCGCAGTGTTCATGCGTGATCACTACAACACTCCAGCCGTGGTGACCATGAATCAACCCTTGTAAGACTGGATCCTGCAGCTTTCTGGAAAGCAGCCCAGATCCGCTAGGCTATGCCACCTCCATCCCTTTTCAAAAGATGTAGCCACTTCTAAAATGAGTAACAAAACCAACAGGCTTGAGAGCACTCGCACAGAGCTCCCCCAACCTGGCATCAAGCGTGAGAAAGTCAGGGATCTCCCGAGGGCAAGAAACTTAACCCAGCAGAGGGGGAGGGAGAACGAGAGAGAATGTGCACCAATGTTCAGCTTCATATATAAATATACGAGTCAAACTTTAGGCTATAGCACTGGGAGGAGCATTGCGGAAAGACGTGCACCTAAATCAACAGCTGGAGATATGAGTAAGCTGCTCTGCGCTATTAAAGATGAGAGGGAAACTCTCTTACACACATACAGAATGGATGTCTGTCTGCTTGTCTGTTTTTAGATCTAAATCTAGCTTTCCGCTAACTTTATCCAGATGCCATGGTGAACAGGCCATGAATCATGTGACTTATCACTCCCTCCTTCTGCTGACTTCTTTCTGTCTCTCGGCTCTCTTTATTTCTGGCTTTCCAGCAGTCAACGCATCTTGATGAACATCTTATGCTCTTTGTCCATGCGCGCTCATTTGTGAGCTTTGGTGAAATTTGTGTGCGTGTGAAAATCTCAGAAGTGTAGTATAAGCGTCTTGACAATACAACGAAGACAGATGCTGTCTACAGAGAATAAATCAAAATGTCAAAAGATGTCTTTAGGATCTTAGTTATAATTAGCTTAGTTTGGGCTAATTTAAAATTGGTGACTGTCTTGGATTAGTGTGTGTTTGTATGTGAGGAATAGGGAGAGTCGAGAGAACAAGGCTGAGGAAAAAAAAAAGAAGAGACTTGAAGACAGTAGACAGTTCACATGCTGTAACCAACTCCAGGAAAGACCAGTATACATCATTTCTCAAGAATCAAACATAACAAGCTCTATTACAGAAAAGAAGACAACACACAAATAACGATAAACATCAGGAGAACTGCTGATATACTGGTATAACCAAGACCAGACCGAATCTGCATATGCTCCACATTCTCTTATCTGATCTTTGAGGTAAAACATCTTAAATGTTGTTAAAGTAGACCTAGTATACCTCTTTTACAAGATATAAAGCAAGTCTCTAGTGTGTTTGTGAAGTTCCAGCTCAAAATACTACATAAATACTCTTTTAGAACTCTTTAAAACTGCCCCTTTAAGGTTTCGATCTAAAATGTGCCGTTTTGGTGACTGTCGCTTCAAATTCAAATGAGACTTTGCTATTTTCAAACGAGGGTGGAAATTTATAATCCTCCTATTCTCTTAAATTACCTTCTGCTTCTCACTTAGGGCTGTCTATGCTAATGAGGGAGAGATTCTCACTAATAGAGGCTTTTCATGACAAGTACAAATAAGAGAATGTCAATCAAAGTGTTTCTGCACACTTTTTTTTATTTAAGTGGGATTCTAAAAAATATAATTTATAAATTTTATTTATATATTTACACGGCTGTTCATTATGCTGTGGAGACCCCTGATCATTAAAGTGACAAAACCGAAAAGAAAATGAATGAATGAATGAATAAATGAATAAATAAATAAATAAATAAATATAAAAAAAAATCAAAAGGGGGCTAAAAATTCTGACTTAAAGTGTATATACAGTTGAAGTCAGAATTATTAGCCCTCATTTGAATTTTTTTCTTTTTTAAATACTTCCCAAATGATGTTTAACAGAGCAAAAACATTTTCACAGTATGTCTGATAATATTTTTTCTTCTGGAGAAAGTCTCATTTGTTTTATTTTGGCTAAAATAAACGCAGTTTTTAATTTTTTAAACACCATTTTAAGGTCAAAATTATTAGCCCTTTTAAGCTATTTTTTTCTCGATAGTCTACAGAACAAACCATCATTATACAATAACTTGCCTAAATACCCTTACCTGCCTAGTTAACCTAATTAACCTAGTTAAGCCTTTAAATGTCACTTTAAGCTGTATAGAAGTGTCTTGAAAAATATCGAGTAAAATATTATTTACTGTCATCATGGCAAAGATAAAATAAACCAGTTATAAGAAATGAGTTATTAAAACTATTATGTTTGGAAATGTGTTGAAGAAATCTGCTCTCTGTTAAACAGAAAATGGGGAAAAATAAACAGGGGTTAATAATTCAAGGGGGGGCTAATAATTTTGACTTCAACTGTATATATATATATATATATATATATATATATATATATATATATATATATATATATACACACACACTGTTGCCAAACAGAATTTGCAGATGCTCCACATTTTTTGATCTGATCTTTGAAGAAAGAAATCCTGAATGTGTTTAACTGGGACATATCATGCCCAGTTTTTTATGTCTATAGTGTGTGTTTGTAAAATGTCAGCTCAAAATACCCCACAAATATTTTGTATAACTCCTTAAATTTGCCCCTTTAAGGCTTTGATCTAAGTGTGACATTTTGGTGACTCTTTAAACTCAAATGCGAATGCTATTTTCAAAAGAAGGCAGAGCAACAAATGCCTATGTGTCAGCATAGCGGCAGATTCAAACCAGGACTAACGTTATCTCTGTGAAAACTGAAAAATGTCAAAAGAAGTAGTTTAGAAGAAGCCTCCATGATCCAGGTTAAGTTTCTGGTGGAGTTTATGAGCTCACAGAGCTGGATGCACCTCTAAAAGGAACTAGTGGACTCAGACACGGCCCTAAACGTATTGACGCTGTTTTTTCAGCCTTCATAAAGCACATAATCAATGTTATTTAAAAAAATTAATGTTAGCCATTTAGTAATGAAGCTAGTCACCGGGCAGACAGAAACCATGCCCATCACGCGAATCCGCATCTGTTCTGAAGTGAATTTGATGCCGAAATTAAGCGGATTTGACGCACAAATGAAGCAGGGTTTTATGCGCAAATGAAGCGAGTAAACTCAAATATTCACGCTGCTATTTACGCATGAAAAGTGCAATTTATCCGCGCGTTCCGCATCTGGTGTGAACACAACATAAGAATTACACACTGGGTTCTATGGCATTGCTGCAAAAATGTAAACATTTGGAACTTTTACATTGGACAACAGAATGTTTAGGGGAGAAAAAAGTTTCTGTAGACTGTAAAAGGGCTATTCACACTAAGCAGAAAAAGCTTTGCTAAGAACTGAAGATCACTAAAAGTCTTTCAATGGCTTCAATGAAAAAGAAACTCTTTTGGAACCTTTATTTTTAAGTTATTCCATCTGGTCCAGGATTCTCCAAACAGTGCTAAACAGTATCTCTCAGGACATCACTTGACGAAACCCAATCGCATCATAAGACCCTTGAATCCTCTAACACAAATATAAACCATCACAAAGACACCCCAAACACAAACAGCAATGAGGAAAAAAGGGCCAGTTACCAGAATGTCCATCATGGCTTGGCGGAGGGCAGCCTACTAGTCTTAAAATCCTCAATGATGTTAATTGCCTGGACACATGCATGTCATCCCCCCGCAGGCCGCGGACCTCTCCTTCACACACAAACACATATAGCACAGGCCGGAAAGCACAAAAAACACACAAACAGGGCAACACACATGGACATACAAAAAAGGAGAGGGAACGGTGAGGGAGAAAAAGAGAGAAAGACTATATTAGTCACATCAAGCAAATGCTCACAATTAAATGTATGACTTTGGCTAATTTAGTCAAGCATGTTAAGTTTAATCATCTACTTACATGAGCAGAATATGGTGCATTAAGTTGTTTTTAATTTTGTTAAGTTAGAGAGATTAAAATAAAAACCATCAGCAAATAACATAATCCTTATACAGATTATTCTACACGGTCATCCATCCTTTTTTAAAAGTGAAAATGCTAAAAACTCCCCGAACGGATGGCCAGTCCATCACTGACTGTTATATGTAAGTACAAATCATGGTTTAACTGTTAACAGTCATGCTAACTAAAACAATGTACGTTTGTCCCACGTAAATGTATTCATGCGGCATTTTAAATATTTCTCTTAAATACCAACGCTAACTATTCTTGTTAATAAAATGCCATATAAATCCAAATATCACCCTTTTTGCGATCACATTACAAAATCCAATTCACAAGCTATAACCTGAGTCACTCAGACTTAGAGCTGCACGATTCTGGCTAAAATGAGAATCGCGTTTTTTTTTTGCTTAAAATAAAGATCACGATTTTCTCACGATTCTGTAGATGTAAAATAACGGTATGGTAAAAACAAACATATGGCACAACATCGATAATAATATTATGTGTAGGTCTACTGGTTTCTATAAATAATTCTATTCTACTTATAATAATTCTGATGTTGAATTAATATGTTTGAGATATATGCTTGCAATCTGTCATATTAGACAAATTTATTCACTGGTAAAATCAGACATTTGCCATTATCAGATTATATTCAACAATATATAGGCTAGAGTAGTTATACTAACATTGTAAACATTTATTTTCATGCACAACTGTGGGTTCGCTATAAAAGAAAAAAAAAACATATCAAATGCTTGTCACATTCATAACTCTAAAATGCGATACGATCATTTGAATGTAGTGCACACTTTCGGTTTCATTTTGACTGCTAAGTGCTTGTTCATACTTCATACGTCACGTGTGATTTCCCGATCGCAAAAACATCATTATATTAAGACAAAAATTGCATTTTTAGGTGAATTATACCTTATAAATACAGTATGTGACTCATTCAACATCATTTGAAGGTGTCAATGTCACTGAGCAATGTGTGTAAAACAATGAAAAGACTCGTGCAGCCGGCTTTTCTTCTCTCCTGCACTTGAAAATATGATTGGCAGAATCGTAGAAATGCTGGATTAAGATCAGATAGGGGGTCGAATCGAGATTGCGATTTTTTAACGATTAATTGTGCAGCTCTACTCAGACTATACATGTGAAAATAACACTAAAATTACAACTGTGTAGCTATAAAAGAGGAAACACATTGAAAAATTAGCTATCTTGTTCATATGTGCAGTTTTTGTTGTGAAAGGTTCAAATATACTCTATAATAAGATGGACATGCAGGTTTTTTGATCAAAGAATACCTGAAATCGGCAACAGTTTTCTAACTTTGGAGTGTAGTTTGATATCTTTAGTACTTTAGGGACCCTATGATACACCCAACGCAATAAGGCGCAAGATGTGTTTGTTGCTATTTTCAGACCAGTGCAACCTTAATTTTCACTTTT